TCTAAAGGAAAGAAATATATTTAATATGATAACAATTCTCTTAAGAAGCTGGCTCTCATTCAAATGGTTTGCGCAAATGTTCATGAATCATGATAAGTACTGCTATTATAAAGCAATAACGACAGTTATTCCTTGTGACAGGCTACGGTCATAATCTCATTACAACATTATACCAACTTTGTACAAAATTAAATAAGCCATTAGTCATTGAAAATCTCTCGACGAGGGAATGTGGCGGTATCAAAATGTAATTTCGTAAAAAGGTGGGGAAAGCGGAGTGACGTCATCGATTCACGAGAAACCAGAAGAAAATGTTAACGGAATTAATTTTCAAAGTATAATGGACTCTTAGGATCGAGGTGCAAAAACGTTGCCAATCGGAAAGAAACAATTTGTAAGAAAAGGTGAACAATACAATTATTTTCAATATCGACGAAGGTATTACGACTTACGACCGTAATATTCTCGTCGAAATCAAATCTGATAAGCACTTATTGTAGTCTCAGCTTAAGGTTATTTACCTATTTAGATAAACGTTATCCGATGGAGATCGAAGTAGAGCTAATTAAAAAATCTAATATTTTCATTAACGCACTGATAGAGGCTACAAATACGAACACCTAATTGAAATTCTTCGAAATATACTTTTATGATAATAAAGGTTATTTTAACGTACGAATTTGAGTGTTATTGGCAAAAACTACACATGTATGACATTGAGTAATTGACCAAGATCAAATTTAAATTTTTCTATCTCAAATTCCACCAAAAATACTAAATAGTACCACATGTACTGAGTATAAGGTTCTGCCCGAATTTCTACTTAATGCTTACATAACTTCTCACATTAAACACAAATTGAATGAAGTCAGAAGTTTACTCAGTTGACAAACAGACATTAATCTATTAAGTAAAACGAATCACTGACAATTATTAACTTCATAATCATATCCAAATCGAACCGTCAAAACCAGTTACTCAATAAGGCAAATTGTAAAGTTTCAGAACTTGACCTTCCAAGTTCAGAAGCGGACTGTACCCCTCCTCTAACTCCCTGCCGCCCGCGGCGCGCCCAGCCCGCATTGCAGTGAAACAGAAGGACGATGCGAAATAAGAACCAGACCTGTATCAAGTCTTTTAAATCCTTTGATTCTACTCAACGATATGACTCCTCGCGTCGAACTAAAGTCGTCGACCTCCTTATGTACTGTATTGAACTGCACAATTCTTCATTTGCTGTATTGACGTCGAGACCCTGAATACTAATTTCAGAGCCAATAGACAGCGCGAACGACGAGGAGATAATTGGCTCATTTGTCGTCAGAGCTGAGGGAATAGTTTCGTAACAAAATACTATGGAAGATTCGATAGGGCTGACAGGACCTTGACATCACGCTGTATATATTCGCAGAGGTCAAGGTAGCCCTAATGCGTTTACGGCTTTCAACCTTGCGCACTTTATAGTCATCGCACGGCCCTGAACGGCCATTTCTTCTTAAATCCTAAAAATAAAAGAACAATAAAATACTCGTATAGACGAGATTTTGCTTTGATGTTGAATTTATGGACGCATTCGGAATGAGTACATCTTATAAAGACTTTGTTCCGTTCGAACTCTTGTATCAGAACGCTTGTCATTAGTACTTTACAAGACTTATAAAAGTAAGTTGGGCGTTTGATGTTAACTTGGTATAAGACCAAACTATTGTTTAGATCGATTACAATCACTACAGACCGATCTTATGTTGAATGTTTGAACCAAAACGGTTTGTATCTAATAATTCCATTATGAACAGATCGGAATATTTGTTATTTACATAACTATGTTTATCACGGTAAATGTGAGAAATTCTTGACATTTTCCTCGAGGCTAACGCGATGAGTCACCAGCGTCCTTCACCTCGGGCTGGCCGCACCGCCCGACATCCGCATTCACAATTTTACCCACTAAAACCCTTTCTCACAGCACAGCTTATTCACGTCACATTTAAATTCATTCATAGCTGTGACGTAAATGCGACGATTCTCCTACAAAAGCCTTCTCTTAACATTCTACAAGCATACTTAAATTAAATGACTCACATATTTATCCTTACTGAGGAGAAGAAGCCAATGTCAAGGGATACAAATGTCTCATGAGACGTCTTATGAAAACTAATGTATGACAAAATCGTAGAGGAGTTTGATCTATCAACGATGATAGTGAGAAAGATGAGAGAAAAGCCGTGCATACTCAAGCAAAAGTAGGAATCATAGCGATTACGACATTGCCACAACATTGCTACACTTTCTCTGTAAATCGCAAATAGCAAATGTCGCAAAGTAAATCAACCGCAAGCAAAGAAGATTCATGTTATAGTGTGGGTAGTTTTAATTTAAAAGCCTGTAATTTTATATAAGCCTATAAAGCCTATAAAGTGACGGAAAATGTCCTTGAAATGCAATATAATGCGTATCATAGTAAAATTCACGGTCACTGACAAAACACGCAATCTGAATCTAGTGCGAGGTCCCTCCCTGTTACGTTATGTGTTAAAATAATTTCGTGTAGCAGAATAAACATAATTAAATGACATTTTAATGAGAGAAGTAAATCTCAGCATTCCGACTGAATGCAATGAAACCTTTGCATTAAAATGTAGCATATTACGAGTATCATAATATAAGAGATGAAAGTGGAACGTACCCTACAAAACGTTGCTATCACGTAACGTCAAGTTCATTTGCTAATTGAGCGAGCCAGCCCGGCCGGCCTTTCATAACTCCGACGAACAAGTACCATCACCTTTCATATGCCAGGCGTACGTTTGTTTATACAAATTCATAAAGGTAACTGATTTTATGTCCGAGTGTAAAAAATATCAGATGAAAGTGAAACGAGAGATAATTTCGACATGTCACAATTTATTAATTGTGCACATAGTTGAGATCAAAGATAAGTCTCATACGTATGTTGCGGATTTATGTACATACCGACCCGCATACATTGCATCGTATTTTGCAAGGCACGCATAACAACAACATTCGAAAGTGTGTCAAGATTGCAATACCAACGTGAAGCCGGTACGATGCGCTAAGCGGGAAACGCAACACATCGTAGACACTTACTAATAATTCCTATTCCGCGTTACCTAATTAAAATTCACTTTATTTTACAATCGAATGAATTGGAACAATAAAACGTACCATTTGATTAGCAATGTTAAGGGAATTGATTATTGTTAGGTAAAAGGGAAACGTTTGAAATGACAAATCATAAGAAATTAATTCTCTGAATTCATCTTCTGAACTTAAAAATGCCATTTAGGTTCGGTTGTATTTTGAAAACCATGTTACTAATCTACACAGACACATAAATTAGAATGATCAGGGTGTACAACAATAAAATGCAAATATCGATCATAACGGGCCAGACATCATTGTCCATGGCGGGATGCCTCCCAATCTACTCTCGTTGTTACGAGTCCATGATATGGGATGTTCCAAATGTCCATATCGATTTGTCTATTGTCGCCGACAACGAAGTCGGTGGCATAACAGAAGCAAATTGGCCTGAAAATGTCACGGGTTATTTTTAGCACAGTGAAATGTGAAAATAGCGAGAGCCAAATTTTTATGCCTATTTACTTTGAAATGAACATTTTCATGCAGTGACGTGCATTCGCCTGTTTATGAATAGAAGTGTTTTCGTAATCTTCTGTTGGATATAATCAGCCAACTATTGTTTCCAAATCTATTTACGACGCCCGCCTACGTACTTTTCATCGTGTACCATCGTAGAAGGACAACGGCAATAAATACGAAGATTAATGATCGCCTTATTGATGAACTATAATAGGATTTAGTGTGCCATGTAGGGTTTTTATGGAAAATCGACTATTTCTCACAAAAATATTTTAAGTAGGGAAGGAAGTTGTTTAAGTCGTCCACAAATACTTCGTTACATATGTGTATAGTCTTCGATTCCGAAACAACTTAAAAAATAAAAAAGCAGTTGCACATGTTGGATATTATTATACGATTCCAAAGAATTTGCATTGTGGACCTAAATATAACCGGTTGTGTTATGTCGAGTTTCGACCCCAAACTCTTCGTGACGGACATCGTACAGTAAGTACAGCGCGAATACAATACAGCACGCGAGCGAATTAAAGATCGGGTGAACGTTCCATAGTAACTTTGTTACAATTTCGTGACATTCAACAGCAAGCATTGCGCAATCGAATCTGTACAATCTAATAAACAAAATTGTTCAGTAGATTTCAATAACACTGCTGTGATTAAATTGTCTATAATATCTATTACTAGTCGTAGTCATATTTCGCATAGTCACGACACTATCAATGTCCTATTACCTAGACCTGGATGTAATGCCACGGGTGTACAATTACAGAGACAACAGCTACTCCGCAAAACGGTGTAATAAGTATCCTAGTGTTTCATGACAGTGCGCCGCAGCACTTTCTGATATTCCATTTGAGTAAGCGAGTAGGTACTAGTACAATACTGCGTAACTACAATTCTCTTCGGTGTGTCACGCTGTTGCAGACAACAGATATTGTAACGCAATACAAAGTTCAAACATTAATCGAAGTAAGATGTCAAGTCGTAAAATAAAGCTCATGAACCGAGGAAAATGAATTCACAGAAAGGATATTATTCAGCAAGAGAATACACTACGTAATGGAGTCCATTACGCTTGATTCTTGTCTTTTATAAGGACTCGACAGGAGATAAGCAGGCAAAGGTACTGCTTCACAGACAAAGATTGATGCCTCGTGCCCCCAAAGCAACGAGATAAAATGTAATATATTCCATAAGGTTTATCTTATTCTGTGGCTCTACATGAATAAGAACTAAGATTGCAGGGTTTAATAAATGTCAAATAGTGAATATCAAACATCAAGTTATGCGGTAAATAGTTATTAACCACATTATGTGTCAGATCAAACTCATTCAGAGCAAGTTATTAGATTTACAGATGAATCATTGTTGCTTACCTTTAAGTATGATCCGTAATATTTAGTAACGTATGGGCTGTCACATTGTGACAACACCATGATCTCCTGCTGGATGTCTTCGATTTCATCTTCAGCTTCTTCTAAGTCGATTATTTTAATAGCGACCACTTGCTGGGTCCTGTTATCGACACCTTTAAACACCTCACCGAACGAGCCTTTGCCGATCTTCTCCTGTTTCGTGAAGATCAGCTCGGGGTCGACCTTCTGTTGAACAAAGAAAAATGTAATGTTAGTTATCATGTTTTTACGACTAGTAGTATAAAATGCATCTAGTTTAATTTCTGTAAGACCAAAGTAATCTTCCTTTGTAAAAATATGAAAATAATAGGTGCGTACGTTACGAAGAAAATTTTTTAAAGATACCGAAATAAATTATTTGGTAAAGACACGTGCCAAAAAATAAACGAGGTAAATTGACGAGGCGGCACATTGTTATTACACCTTAAGCGTTATTTTAGGTGCCTTATTATACGCAAATATACGTTTGATGTTCAAAAGCGATGATTGATTATTCATAGCGTGATATAAAATATTCATATGCACGAGCTGTGAATATAATCGAGTTGTTTTTGTATATTTTCATGAAGCCTAAATCTTTATTCGTTGCTGTATAATATAAAGCCCTATTCACAATCCTACCAATATTATAAATGCGAAAGTCTGTATGAATGTTTGTTTGTTGTTCACGCAAAAAAGCTGGAGGGATCAGGATGAAACTTAGAACTTGGGTAGATTATGATCTGAAATAACACACAGTCTACTTTTTATACTACTGAAACGCGGGCAAAGCCACTGGCAGAAGCTAGTCTTTGACAAATTAATAATACATTGTCGGCAAACATACCTAAATGAATACAAATGAATTATTTTCAGTTATCGATCGTATCATATCTTAGGAAAGTATTTTAAAGCCTGACGCAATAACTAATAAGAATGGAATTCGATAACGATCGATTAATTGACGATAGTTGAAAAACATGTTTCAGATAAAGTATAATTACCACAATAGTCATGTCAAAGGGCTACGTCCATTCAGGCACTTTACCAACATGTAATCTTGTTTATTTTATTTTTAATGAAACATTACTTCCATTTTAAAATGGACAGACTATTGAAAATGAGGTTTGTGTCAATAGGTTGTAACTAACAATGGTTTCAAAAGCAAACAAATTCATCAGTAAGCGTTTTACAGTTATCTGTTTTAAGTAGGTGTACCGACCGAGGCTACGTTACCCACGATTATAACTGGCGAGTGACTCAGTTTGATTGCTTGGTCAGGCGAACAGACCTCTAATCAGAACATGCCTCGCTGACTTTGAGCTAAACATGTTGTTCCCTTTAGTCTAGACAGGGATTATTATTTTAGTGTTTTTATTTCCAGCGAATCTGCCACATTGTATATAATATAATGTACACAGATGTAGAGGTGAACCTTTTAGCATTTAACTGACTTTGCAACCACACTGAAGGTCGTTCGCTGCGAGATGCAATCAAATTCAATGTACTGCTAACTAAATGACGTTACGAAAACTTCTTCGCGTATAATTTGTTTACATGTCTGTACACAAAAGCATTTCAATTCTTTGAAATGTAACTATAATTTAATAGTTTTTATAATCTTATATTCTTTTAGATATACAAATGTACATCTACCGCGACCACCTACCAGTCTGACTCATAACAATAAATCAGATAAAAATTGTAATCTTAACAATAAAATAAGGAAACCACAACAGTGACTAATACAATAATCCAAATGACTAAAACGAAATTAGATCAAAATAAGGTTAAAGTTAGCGCCGAATAAATACGAAAATTTTCTCAAATGCTCCATCGATAATTGAAACGATGATAATAAGTATATTGTTGTCTTAATAAAGAAACTGGTGATGCTATCTTTCCAATAGACTCACGGAGAGAAACTCTCGCATTCCTTTGAATATACACGCGAGGAAAAGACGGCACGTGTAGTCGCGTACTGTACTACAACATGAAGCAAATTGAGATATCTAATCAGCAAATTATGTTCCAGATACTTGATTTGTTACTCACATAATTATTAAATGATGTACTTGTTTCAAAAGTTTCGATATGCTATGTCCGGTATGTCCGGTAATTAAACAAATTGCGTATTAAAAATACTTAATGGAAAACGTTGAACATTTAGGATGAAAACCTCGATGAAAGCCTCATAGTTTTCCAGGTTTGCGATAAGTATAGGACGTGGATCGTTTTATCCCAGTTTAGACGGCACGAGACATAGTCGGAGGGGACGTGACTAGACTACCAATGAGCTCCGCCAGAGAGCATATTGAGACGTAAATCTTCTTATTTTTAATCTAGTAGCGCAGCAGTAAATAAAACTGTTTTAGGTTTAAGTAAACCCATTGGACTCGGTCTAAGCGAAATAGTCGTTCCATTTATACGCCTCTGTTTCCAATAATGTCGGTTCGACAGATAGCTAGCAAATAAATCGAAAGAGTGAGTGAATTCGAGGATTACTAGAGCAGAATTATACGTAGATTACTTCTTTCAAGAACGATTGTTTCTTCAAAATCTTCTTTCATATTAGTTATATTTTTGAACATTACGCATGTACAAGGAATAATATAACCGATGTTTTTATACACTCAATTTATAATTAAGGTTGAGTCACAAATACGCTCTTCGTGGAAGTCAGGAATTGTACATAAAGGTCGAACCCTAAAAGCAGGTACCTAAACAACAAGGTAGCGAGGTAACATCATTATTTCCTGTTAAAATGTTACCCGTAAGGGGCTCTGAAAAAGGGGATGATAAAGTAAAAGACTCATCTTTATACGAACAAAAAGGCTTATTGTGTTCGGTAAGCCAATTTCACACAAGTTTGTGAAGAATGATTATGTTACCGGTGGAAGGACTGTCGGGAAAATTATTTTCCATGTCCTTATTCGTCTCATGCATCAATTTTGAAGTAAACATTACATCACGTACATACATAAGGCACCTACCTACGTACGAAACTCATGTACTGTTGGAAAGATTATCCATTTCATTCTATAACAAAAATAGACTATAATCTGGCTACACCCAAAAAACGTCACACGATAACTATGATTACATCCGGATTATCTCTTTGTCATTACACAAAGCTAGATAAGGCTGCCTAAATTAAATAAATGTTTGAACTTCTCAAACTTTCCTATCGCCACATCTAAGAAAGCTTTTAAAAGCTTTCATATTATGCAAAAAGTTTTCGCGACAATTAAGTGGTTTAGATAAGGAATGAATAAAAGTTATTGTAAAGGCTTCGAGGGGCGAAGCCAAAGCCATTTGGTAATGAAAGAAAAGTGAAAGAATATTGTTACACTAAAAAATATAACAAAGGAACGACTCCTTTAGGAACCAATATTGCCTTTTCTATCTATTAAACTATAAGTAAAAAAAGACAAGTCAGGGATTACAACGTAAGTCTTTCGGAACAGGAAAATTATTAACAAACCAGGAAATATAAGTACATTTTCGGTAAATACATACAACTTTGATTTGATTAGATAGTGGCCGTATGATGATTAGAAGTATATTTTGTTATTGTTAACAACAAATGTCACAGTTCATTTAGTTACGTATAGAAACCGTTCTATAGACTTTAGGATAGCTTAAAGGTTATTAGGTATACACAGACTACGAGAATAACGTCATCTAGAACGACGTCACTCCGTTCCATCTATAGACACATAGACAGGCCCTAATGGAGTGTTATTTTTATAATACCTACGGCACACGTTTATCCACGGCCGTCCATTGTGAGATAAAGTCTGTACGATAAAGGCCGTGTATATTTTTTGCATAATCTCACTAAATAAGAGTCACGTCCACGGATTGTTACGGCTGTGATTGAGCTGTGTCGTAAACCATGCTAGGATTTCGGTATTTAATTTTTAAAACATTGGTCAACTTGCCTTGATATTTTTACTAAACAAATACATGTGTGTAAAAGGTAAATATGTAGCTAAAAGACGAAAAGTTATTTCCTTTTTGATAGTTTGTCTATTTATAGAAACCCTTTCTGTGTTCTTTCGTGGAAAGGTAAAAGGTGATGGATTTCATTTCACTGACAATCTTGCCTTGTTTGTTATTACCATTCGTTAATGATTTGTCCATCCCGATAACGAGCAAGCCCTAGGAAACCACTTGAGTGTTAATCTACATGATGATATCATATAATTAAAATCAAGTTATAATAACAATGTGTAGTTATAATGACTTATTTAACTAGAAGCCACAGTTGGTTGTAGTTACACTTTTATGTGTTTCAATTTATGAACATACTAGACTTTTCAATTAAGGTAACAATGGACTAGTTATTCCCAAAGGTAAACTGACCATCAGTTTAAATTATAAGGGAACAGATGTAGAACTCAGATTAAAAGGATGATATTTCCTTTTAAATTACAGTTGTTTTAGTCGTAGGCGTAATTATTGTGCGTAGGATTTATACAGTCCAAGCAAAACATCTAAAATATAGCACTTTTTGAAATTAGGCCGATTAAATTGAGCAATACGACCTTTCTTCATTATAAAGTTATGCGCTGTAAAACCTCGTTTCGCACCGAAAGGAATTACAGAACAAAATGCTGAACATTCAATTCATTCATATCTCTTTACAATATTCGAAATTGTTAATGACCGTTTCGTGGTCGGTCGTGGCGCATGCGTTACCACGGTGAAGTAATTAAACTTTCATGATAATCATATCTGTCGCAATCCGGTCACGATACTCGTTGTTATAATAACGCAATATTGACCTTGTTGCAAAAGAAAAGCCAAGTGCTAGTTACGCAGCATAAGTAAATAGACTAGGAGTCGATGCTAACTAAACAAACACAAATTGAGGTTAGTGCTATCCATTTTTCTACAAGAATGTGGTTAAACAGATTTGTTTATTATTGCAAAACATTCGTTTCTTCAGTTTACATTTTAGGTACTAAATTTAAAAACTTTAATGCATTTTTAAATAAATATGTTGGCGTGTTTTTCATACATATTTACAACCATTATTAAATAAGAAGAAACATAGTAATAAACGAAATCTTCAGGACAAATTGTAAAGTTAAGAATTCAAAGAGTTTAAATATTTATGGTACGTTTAAATGTAAAATATGGCGCAGTTAAATCGCGCAATAGAATAGTGAAACAGAAGTTCAGTGTTGGCAACGTTAAAG